CTTTGACTTTGCCAAATCACAATTGCGTTCAGCCTGCTAATGCCACTTTGCTATTCCAGGTCAGCAGTGCACTTCTCAGCTCTCTTAGGCCACAACTAACTCAGGTAGCCCGTAGGACTAATTTACAGCCTCTACAGAGCTACCTTACAGTTAGCTCATTTTATTAGTTGTTAAATTACCCCTATGCATCATTTACATGTTGCATGAGTTGGTCGAGATAATTAATGCTTGTAAAACGCTCTGAGGTTTTTGGATGAAATGTACAGTAGAATTACAACAAATTATTCTCATGATATTGATGATAAAAGAAAAAATTGACAACAGCTTTCACATGCTATAAAAAAAACAAACCTGTGGCTGGAATGCTCTTCTCCAGCTGTGAGTGCCCTGTTTTCTCAGATACTCAAACAGAGAGAAGATTAATCTTCAAGTGGTAGATAGCCAGTGCATTTCTAGTGTTCAGCATGTTTTACACAAGACTGCAATGCAACTACCCACTGCAAAATAAATCAATTTATGAACAAAACCAGGGGAGGAAAAATCCTATTGCTCTTTAGTTTAATAACACAAAGAAATCAGGGGAAAGTGAAAGTCCTGAAAAATAGCAGGTGTGGTTTTTTAACATCAAATTGCTAAAACATTGGTGGAGGCAGCACCCGCAGGTTAAGCTGAATGTTTCTTGCTATGCAATATAGAGAAGCAGAGACTCCTGCAGATAAGAAGCAAGCATCTCTTCGCAGTTTTAGGATCTGTGTTTAAGGAACTGCTCTCCTATATTTTATAGTATTTCAGTAGTTTGATGCACACTATTAGCTTTATATTCTGAGAAGAGGCTCAAATACTTGATGCCTTTAATTCAAGGTGTTAGCTTTCCCTGATAAGGAGGTTTCCCCAAACTCTCTCATCTCATTTTTGTTGTGCACTTGAAAGCACTCATTAAGTTTGCAATGAAAGGAGGTGGTTAGAGCATAGGAAATTGTCAAGTGGACTCTTGCACAGGAGCTGCTTTTATAAGGTCATGATCCAAACTGGTCACTGAAGACTGGATTGCAGGTATTTATACCTGCATGTGAACACAGGATAAATTTATGCACTTTGAGCAATGTTCCCTAAATCTTTATGGATGGTATTTTCTGACTACGGTCTCCATTTATGCACTTGCCAATATTTAGTGCAATATCTGCTCAAATAAATGTTATTTTCTTCTTCTATCCAAGGCAGCAACCTTAATAATTAAATATAAAATATCTTTCATGATAATATAAGTGCAGAGATTCCAAGATACAGATGAAGCCCTCTATATTCATCTGTTATAATGTGTGCCAAACCAATAATGAAATGCAATGTAACATTCATAGTCAGATCAGAGCTTTGTGGTTTTACTCTCTTAGAAGTTCTGGATTTCTCAACCTGACACTTCTGCCTGATGTGCCCCTGAAGAGGGCTACAGAGTCTTGCAAAATACTTGCAAGTAAGTTCTGCTTCTTTTGAATACAAAACATCTTGACCTCAGATTGTGGGGTGAATACATCTCTACTTCATGGATGAGGGAAAGTAGTCACAGCCTGGAGTTAGAAGGCTTCTTCCTGTTTGGTAGGAAGGTTTCACCATGTTTCCAAAAAGCAAAATTCAGAATCGGCCACTGGGAACAGAAGCCAAGTTTCCAACATAGTGTGCCGAGTTAAGAGCTTCACTGAACCTGGAAGAACAGGTAGCAAAGGAAGGTATTAGAAAAACAGCTTCGGAGAGGACACATGTATGGACAATAGCAATAAAGAGAATTTATTTGGACTGGAGAAATGTTCTAAAACTGGATTATCATCAGCTGGCTGTGGGAAATAGCTGAGGTGAACCTTGGGAACTGCCCTAACCTTTGAATGATGCTGCCCTAGCTGCGTCCCACCTCACTGTTCCTCTTCCTCCTTCAGCTGTCCAAGTAAGTGCAGATGTGTGCTCTTTTGCTCTGTGTGAGAATCTGCTCCAGAAATATTCCCTTGGAATGTATTTTTACTATTAAAAGAGCAGATCCGTATGACATGAAAAGAGCCAGACACTTCAAGTGAAATGAGAGCTAAAGAAAATGCTTTTTCATCGAGAAAGTAGACTGGTTTCTTTCTTTCATTTGACAAATTATAATGTTGTAAGTAGTAGATTGAATAGATGTTTATTAATTATTCCCCTTCAAAATGTCCACCGTTGACATAAATAGGAACTGATGGATTTCTCTAGGGAACATTTATTTTAAATAATAATTTTTTTTGTTGGTTTTAATAGGGTATAATGATGTATAAGAAGTAATGCTGTTTGATAAATGTCAACACGTTCAAGCTTTTTGCAGTATTCTAACAAACCATACAATTTTCCAAAAAACATTTTCTACAACAACACACGACAGACCATTTTTGTCCAGTGTCCTATTTTACACAGCTCACTTACCACTCTGGGGACACTCCAATGGCGAAGGCATGGAGAGATGAGCCATGGCCCTGCTCTGCAGCTGGATCGAATGGGGATCTTCTCCATGGTGGAAGAACTTGATTGTATTTTTCTTGTTTGATGTTCCTTGGAACTCTATGCCCAGGATCTGATCCCCTGCCTGCTTTGCAGAGATTATTTGCCTGGATGTACTGCACAGAATTAATCTTTATGCCAGAGGTACACACTGTTGAGATGATAGTGGGATATTTCACTGTAATATACACTGCAGTCACACCCAGGAATACTGGCATGAGTTGTTACAAATGGAATTTCAACTCCAGATTGTCGAAACTAACAATAATTCATGTAATCATTTTATACTAATTATAGGTCACCTACTAATATCTTTAATTAATTAATACTGTAATATGATTGTATAATTTATAGTTACTGTTGGAAAAGGTTAAGTTGTCAAGAAAGACACGAGACAAACAGAAATGTTATTAAGACCTAACGTAAACATTCAATTCAAAACTTGAACTAAACATAAAGAGCCAGCACAAAGAAATAAACGCCTAAACAAATGCATACACAAACTGTCCTATAACTATCACAAGCCCACAAAACAGTTGGATTTCTTGTAGATTTTTCTCTCTTCGCAAGTGAAATAGCAGCAACTTTTTATTTTTGTTTCAGTGGGAATTTGTCCCTTCGGAAATATTTTAGCCAAATTTTTACTAAGTTTAAATTGTGATCATAAAATGTTTTGCAGGGAAACTTGGTCCAACTGAGGATAAATGTAAATGAAAGCTCAGGTAGTTCTGTTATCATGTCAACAATTACTTAAACGTGGTTTAAAATCAAAGCCCTTGAACACTAAGCCACTTTTTCTTCAAATCATTCATTTCCAAAGATCTCACAATTTTTAGCCCAAAAAATTCTATCACTGTCTTAGCTTAATCTTCCCCCCCCACACACACACAGGGTTTAGGAAAAAAGAATTACCTTCAGTGGGATTCACAGCCCCTTCACACCATGCTTGGAGTGGGCTTTAAGCCCCAAAACCTTCAGAATCCAGCACAGAGCAGCCATCAGGTTTCTCACATCTCCACTTGGAAGCTGTATTATGCCTAAGTAACTTCATGCAGCAAAACATTCCTTCTGAAATCACCGGAACTGCACTTATTTAAGAGCTGACAGCTGCTGGAATTTTGGATGGGGGATTTTTTTGAGACGTTTTCTCTTCAAACATGTTTGTGCAGATCGGACCGTGCTTTGAGTGAATAGTCATCTAAACCATGATAAATGAGAAAACCTGGCAAAAAGCATGCAACTGAGAGCCACAAAGTCAAACAAGAGGACTGAGATGAGAATCTGTCCCTACTGTTTCTTACTGACATATGCTATAATACTATTGAATTATTTCAGCAACCTGATGTGAGAATGGGGTGTGGGGTAGAAATTTGCAGATGGTAACAAGGGCAAAAAATGCAGCATGAATTTTAAATCTGTGCAGTATAACATTTTAGCATCAAAGTGAGCATTTAGTACCAAATACCATTAACATTTCCATGGGCTTTTTATTAAATGCTTGCTCAGCAAGTCAAGTGTCTTTCAAGCCCGCGACAGCTGTGAATGTATAAATATATATTGACACATATATTAACGCATGCAAATAAATGTATTTCTTTCATTTGTTGTGGAAAAGCGTTATTATAAGGTTTTTGACTATTTAGAAACTAATTTGCATCGTCAATCTGCACAGCTGAAAGAGGGACATGCAAAACTACCTGTCTACCTATTGGGATCACTGCAGCATCTGCTCCCAGCTCATCCTTTCTATTCCTCATCCTTTCTGGTTCCTAGCAAGGAACAGGCATGGATCTTAGCCCAGGTCTCACTGACAGCATCTCCTTTAATATTACTTGTGTTCTTGTTTAACAGTGGCTTCAAATCCAGGTAAGAGTCAGCCAATGCCAAACAAGAAATAAAAAAGGCATAAACTGTTCAAAATAATGCATTGCAGAGAACAGTTCTGCAGCTAAATGCAATTCTTACAGCTTAATTGTCGCATAGCTTGCTAACGCCAGACCCAGTTGGCAGTCACCTGATAGCTTCTGTTTTTACCCCGTGATAGTAACTAAATTAATTTGTTTCCTAATAAAATATTTCAGGATGTTGAGAAAATACAGATAAGCAGAGAGAATCCTTATTAGGATCATCAGTATTAACATAAAATCCTTTTGTGCTCATTAAAGAAAACACAGTCAATTTAATTAATGCATATTAATCCCTAGTTGACATTAAAATCAGCTAAAAAACAACACTGATATAGATTATTAAAATGAGACCAAAAAAAAGTGTAGAAGGTGGCCTCCATAGGAAGAAAATCATTACTGGAGCTCTACATTTCTTTCTTCTTTTTCTTCCATGGAAATTGTAATCCAGCTGCATCCACTGTTGCTTCCACAATGCCCTAAGCTTGCACTCCCAAGTTGCTCACTGAGGGACACGGTCAGTGGGCAGGATAGGGATGGTTTGGTGGTTGGACTGGATGAGCTTGGTGGCTTCTCCAACCTTAATGATTTTATGTTTTAACCTGTGGGACTTAGCAGCAGAAAGAAACACTTGGTATGAAAAGCAGTCCCAAGCAATGGTGACATGGGAAAGAGACACTGCGTGGTCTCTATGTGGACAAGTGATCCCACCCCTTCTCAGCTAATGCCTCGATCTCACAATTTATTTTAGAGATAAGGTGTCTCAGAGAAGTCTGCGATACACCCCGAGTGGTTCCAGTTAGCCAAATATTTAGGAGTGGTATTATAAAAATTGCCCAAGTGATTGTCGTGCGCAAGGTTTTAAGTTTCTAGGCACCTAAAGCTTGTAGATTCCACACGTGGGCTCAGCAGTGCCTTGTGTGCTAACTCTGGGATTAGTGCAAGTGTATCAGCCTTGCCTGGATAGGAGTGCTTGGCACCAGCCGTGGGCTGTGAGTCTGTGTTTGCTCAGGGACTGTGACCCAGCACTGCAGGGAGCTCTGCAAGCAAGCTATGCCAGGATTAGGCTTCCCTGGGGGGGAATTCCTATCCATCCTCAGGGATCTGCTTGCTCTGGGTGCAGTAGGAAAGAGGGGCCAGTCCTTTCTCAGTTCCCTTCCCTGCAGAGTTGGAAGCACACCAGAACATGGGGGTGCTCAGGGCTGAGGTTTGCCATAGCAATGACTTTAGCACCCATCTCCACAGAATATCCCAGACTTACAGCACTCACCCTGGAGTTAAATTTCTTCCTCTAGTGCCTGACACAAAGACACAGAGCCATACTCATCGCTGCCTCTGGTCCTATTTTTCTGCAGAGTGGAACCATTTCAGGAGGAACACATGAACATATGGTCCACTCTTCCCTTCCATATCCCACCAGAGCTGGGGCAGAAGCCCTCACAGACAGAGGAAAACCCCAAGCAAAGATCACCCCTTTGGGGCAGCTCCAACCAACCAAGGGCAGAACATCTTCTAAAAGGGAAAAGGCAGCAGGTTGTCCCTCTTCCTTCACCAGGACTGTTTTCTCTCTTAAAGCCCTGAGAATCCCTCCTTAACCAACCCCTTCTACATGGGCAAAGACCTTGCTGGTGAAGGGCTCAGAGCAAAAGCAGAGCCCCAGAGATGCCAAAAGGCAAATTCTAGGGCTTGCAGGCTTCAGGGAGGAAATCTGCAGCACCTATAAGCTCCAGGTCTATTTTGGCTGGCAGTTGCACAGCCATTTTGAGAATACATATTTTGGACATAGGTGTGTAGCTGCCTTTGTGTGCTCAACCCAAGCTGCTTTCGGAAATTGGTTTTAGATTATTGTGCAAATATTACCTCATTATTACTTTGTCGAATGAGGACAACAATCATTTGTTCCCAGAAGATGTGCTGTTGGCTAGAGACTGATCTTCAACTTCTGGCTTAGATTTCAACCAGAGATGGCAGAAAAGCTTCCTGAAAGAAGAACATAATAAGTTCTGGTTTAGAATTCTTGTGTATACAGCAAAAAATCAATTCATTTTATAGAATCTAGGATCAATAATACGTATCTGTTCTCCTGGACACAAGTATTTCAAAAATACCATTCAAGTCACGGCAGGCCTTATTTAACTTAATGAGAGTTTTGCCATTGATTGTTTGGTTACATTTCACATTATATTTCCTCACTGGTACCTGGCGGTTTTGTTGTGCAGAGATTTTAACCCCTCTGTGAGGGTTTTTTTTCTGTTCTCCCCCCAGGATTTCTGTCCTCTACTACAACCCTCCATGCTCCCATCACTATCGATCACACAGACTTGTCTCTTCACCCTACTGCTTGTTTTATTCACTACTAGAAAAACATAAAACATCGGGAAGATGCTTCAGAAGAAAGAATAAGGTGTGTGATTATCCCACACCTGTTTTGAGGACGTCCCTGTTTGCTAACAAATTAGAAAAATATTAAATGGCTTTTTTTTTTTTTTTTTAATACCACGACACGTTCCAAACTACGATAAGATTTTGGGCTAATTAAATAAGAAGTAAGGACTGATAACATCCTGTTTTTATGATGGATGTTAGCATGTCGATTCTTCGCTTTTTTTTTTTTTTCTCCTTCATATTTTAAAGTTCCCTTTTAAGTGTGTGAAAAATGAGTAAAAGTGTCAAGCCTTATCACAGTTGACCTTGCTTTTTGGCTAGCCTCTCTCCCTTATCTATCAAACACATTACTCTCCCCATCATAACGTGGTAGTGCAAACATCGCAGCCGGCCAGCAAACATGACCAAAGCTACCTTTAAACTACCTCTAGACTCTTTAAACTCAACTAAAAGGCTGATTAGGTTCCACCTCTTTGGTCATTATCTCATTTCGATAGCCACGCAATGAAAAAGCAATCTAGTAAAAAGCTGTCTCATAGGAAAACTAGTTAAAGTGTGTGCTTACTTAAGACGGCGTACTTAAAGAAAACAATTTATTCGTTTGTCAAAACCAACTGTGTAAACTAGTTTAGCTGTTTGCCGAGGCTTGGAATGAACAAACGTTGTTGTTTCCTAAGGAAAGTTCCTCGGGAAGGGGGGGAAACGAGCCGACCCCATCGTATAGCGGGGGACAGCGGGCAGTGCAGCCCCCGCTGTGCTCCGGGAGCGACGGGAGAAAGAGCTGAGAAAAGAGCTGAGGAAGACGACGGGCACTCCCGATCGTTTCCCCTTACGGGCGGGGAGCGTTCGCCCTGTTATTGCCCGAGAGGAGCGCGAACACCCATTGCTCTTTGATCCTCTGCCCCTTCTCGAAATGAGAACGGGTTTTTTGTTTTTTGGTTTGGTTTTTTTTTTTTCCCCCTTTTCCTCCCCCCACTTTCACAACAAATTTAAAAGGGAGAGATTAGGAAGGGGAGGGAGAGGCTGGGCGAGCAGCAGGGCGCGGTGCGAGGCTGCAGCCCACATGTGTAGGAAAACCACAAACCTTTCTGGGGTGATGTTTGCTCGGGTTCCTTTTGCAAGCGCGGCACAATGGCAACTATTCAGGAATCGGTCAACATGACCTGGCACCAACAAGCCCTAAAAACATATATGCTTCATTCTCGCAGAGCCTAGGAATCATGTTTTTAAGTGGGATTTACTTTACTTTGTCAACAGAACAGGTGGTGTAGCATTCACCTGCTCTCAAAGGGAAGTCTGGACCACAAAAAACAGAATTAGTGGGTCTCAGCACGGCTGACCGCGATCGATAGAATTTGTCCCGGGCAAAAACAGAGTGGAAAGGAGAAATACCCCAGGATGTGCCCGGGCGACGCGGGGGTTCCCAAAGAGGAGGAGAATACGCAACAGAGTCCCGGCCACCAACGGGTTACGAGCCCGAGGAACGAGGCTATCCACCACCGGCACCCACTAGTTAAAATAAAAATAAATATAAAAAAAAATTACTGATTAACGTGATCTGTCAACACTCCTTTGCCCCACGGGACGGCAGCCGATCTATTAGCTGGCACCTCCTTTGCCATCTCCCTCACCTTGCGAAGTCTTTGCATCCTTCTCCTGGCCCTGAGTCATAGGTAAACACCGCCGGGTGCTGGGCTGTGCCCGGGGTACCAGCTCGGGACAGGCACCTCCCGGCGCCGGGCGCAGCCCCTGCCCCACGGACAGCCCGCAGCCCGGCCTCGTATCTTGCAAGGGCTCCGGGCGTCGTGGGGGAGCAGAGGGCAAAGCTGCGAGCCCTCCGCCTCGCGCGGTGGGCAGCCAAGGGCAGAGGAAAGCCCCCCTCGAGGCGTAGAGCGTGGCTGGAGGGCTGTCTGCAGAGAGCATCCTGCCGGAGAGGGGGGGGGAGAAAAAACAATAACAACTTTTTTTTTTTTAAATCCCGTAAGCAATTGGAGAAGTTTGTTTTAAATAAATTATTAGCTAAATAAATAACAAAAAGAATTTACATTGCACCTTAATTACGGTTCTACCAACAGCAGACCCGCACCGCTCCGCACCCTGCCCGAGGGGGAACAGTTTACAGGGAGCAGCCGCCTCACCTGGCACAACTTACTGCAGCCCAGAGAGCGCTGCTGTGGCGCTTTTTACCTATTTAATCTGTTCTAAGGGGTTTTACCTACGGTCATTATTTTGGGACGGGGTTGTTCTGCTTTTAAACCCTCTCCGGGGGCAAACAGCAGCTAGTGGCCATAAGAGTTTCTGAACCGCTTCACCTGAAGCGAGCTAGAAGAAAAGTGGCGTCTGACTCTCCTCATCTTATATATGCTCGAATGTAATTGACCGCCGCTGTGAAGCATTTGACGTGGCTGATGGAGCTGTTCTCAGGTGCTCCGATAGTCCCAGGAAATGCTCATTTGCAGGAAGAACTTGTTAAAATTGAAGGGCTCGCATTCAGTGGAGAGGCTAAAGGCGTTTGTGTTCGCATTGTGGCGGCAAAGCACTCTTCCACCCCTCTCCCTGATTCAGATTCTTAGTTCAGAAAACCTGGTAGTTGTGCGGTACTGGTTCATAGAAATCCTTCACCGTATTTCCCGAAAACCCCGTCTGTGCTGTAGGACCTGCTGTGTTAAATTATGATCCAAAGGCTGTGGGGTGGGAACAATCAATCAGAATACCTGGGGTAGTGTGTAATGTGTGTGCTCTTGCCAGCGGGAGCAAGCGGCCCCTGAACACAGTCCCCCAGCAGGTTAAATAAATATGATACTATAGACAAACCGAGAGGATCACATGGCCGCATCAATCAGCTGTTGATAAAATACAATCTTCCTTTAATACACGCTGGGAAAGTTATTTAACACTTACAAAACCTGACTCCGGCGCTGTTTCTTTTAGTTAAAAAAGGGGAAAAATATTCTTTGAAAGTGCAACTCTTTTAAAAAGGCAAAGAGAGGTGACGCTTGCATTTTCCTGGGGGATATAACTGAACGCTTTTAATGAAGCCACAGAGACTGTACGAAGTACGCGAGCCACGTTGCTGGAAAATATATATATATATATATATACAGGAGTTATTAAGAATAAGGCGACGTGAAAGTGGCCGAACCGACGCCGGGATGTGCGTTCGGGTTTATTAGCTTTGCATTGGCGATCCCACAGCAGGGGTGGCTGCGGGGCTCCCTGGGGCGGGTTCCCCTCGGGGTGCAGTTGGGGACGAGCACCTCAAGGAAGGAGGCAGCGAAGGGGGGCTCTCCTCATCTCATCCCTCCCTGTTCAGCATTTTCACGCCGGACAGCTGGACAGGCTGAACGCGCAGCTCAGCTTTTCTATACGGTTTGATAGAGAATAAGAGATTAGAATTTCCTAGGGAAAAAGAAAAAAAAGACAAAAAGACTGGGTATTATACTGAGTAATTTTGGAAGCAGAATATCAGCACGGGCTGACGGCGGTGGGGTAATCGGGGTGCGATGGGTTTTCCTTCTCTCACGTAAAGGAAGAAGTTCGCTGCTGAGAAATAAAAGGTTGCCACACAGGCGCTTTGGAATTCCCCCCTATTCGTTTCCTTCCCGCTTTCCACTCAGCTAAATGCACCTTGTTTAATTATCAGCACGGTGCCTTGTGCCACCTCTCCAGGCCCCGACCCTGCCCACTCAGAGCCCCCAGCGGGTTTGCACGGCTCAAAACTCGGGTTTCGCCGTCCCTGAGCTCCGAACCGCCCTGGCCAGACCCGCGGCCCCGACCTGGGGAGGGTGAGGCATAAATCAGTGCGCAACCAACACCTCCAAGGGGAAAGGCAGGAGGAAATTCTGACGTGGTCCCCCCTAACGAATGAAGATTGATGCCCACTCTGGAAAGGAAGCTGTTGTGAGCGCTGTTTATTCAAGAGAAATCCTGGAAATAGAGAAAAGGGGGGGGGGGGGGGGAAGAGCCCACGGGCTGACAGTCTGGGGCTGATGTCATCCCAAGTGTTGAAATAATTGGCTGATGAGCCAAAAAACGCCTTCGAAAGACACTCTTTCCAAGGCGCTGCTGGCAGCGCTTTGCAGCTGGGGAATATCCGCGCTCTGCCGCGGCTCTGCGCGGAAGGAAAGCGCAGCGCGGAGCGGGGGCTGCCCACGCGTGGGGACGGGGAGGGGGCGGGGGCTCCCAGCAGCTCAGCCCTGAAGGAGATCCTGCAGCCTCTGCTCCTCTGATCTGTTCGGAAAGTTGCGTTAAAGAGCTCTTTACCTGCACCAGACTCCCTTAAGCACCCTCCAGGGGCTCGTTGGGCAGATGTAATGGCAAGGCCAGGGGGTCTTGTTTGGCGAGACGTAGGGACATTTGTCATGGCTGACCTGTGAACTTCAGCTTCTGAGCCCAGGACTGTAAGGAGAGGCTCGGGCTAATGTAATAAAGCGAGAGAGACAAGAGGAAAGGCCTATCTTGCCCCAGGGCCACCACATGTTCACTCCGTTTTACTGTCAGTGCTACATGGAAGCTGTGGCTTCATTTCATATTCCATTAATATTTACAGCGGCGATTGAATTTCCCATTACAAAGTTCACCATACACACACTGCTAATATGAAATATTAATAATATTGTGCTCATTATGAGAAGTCTTACTATTAAAAAAAAAAAAAAAAAAAAAAAAAAAAAAAAAAAAAAAAAAAAAAAGATAATAATAATAATAATCTACCGGGCAAGTTGCATGGATAAATTCATTTCCTGCGTCCACCTGGACGTGGGGATACACGGCGGGGGGTGCGCAGGATGCGCGGGGCAGAAATGGGCCGCGTTGGGAGCGGCCCCAGAGCCCGGGTGGCACTCAGGAAGCGGCGGTCCCTTCCCAAGACCACCTCTGTCCGCAGGGTTCGGCCGTTTGCAAGCGAAAGGTCACGTTCTCCAGATGGGCTGGGGCATTCCGAGGGCAAGAGATGCCCAGAAAGTGGTTTTACCCTACAAAGGGACCGAGGAATAGGTGTATCCGACTGGGTCAGAGGGCTTGATTTTGTTTTTTGTTTTTTGTTTTTTTTTATCATTTTTATTTTCATTTTATTGTTTTGATCTCTTCTTTCGTGTCTGTTTTCCGAGCCTGTTTGGAGCAGAAGGAAACAGTGTGTGACCAAAAGATGCGTAACCGGGCATCGACTTAAAGCACAAACTGCAGCTGAGTCACTGCTCGGTTGCTGCTCAGGGCAGACAGAGAAACCCTACCTCCTGTGAAGAAAGGAAAATTGCCCACGAGAGTCCCAAAAGTGCCCCGAGGATAAACTGCAATAAAAGCAGACCGATAATTTCCAGATCGCGTGGAAACGGTATTGAACACAGCCGGTGTGAAGTTGGACCACCAGGAACTGCTTTCCCTTGGAGCACTTCGTTGTAGGGAGGGGCTGACCGGCATTACTCCATTCGCACTTTTCACACCCTGAGCACAAACTGCCCTTCCTTTCGGTCCACAGGTTTGTGGGAAAACACCACCTTGCCGTTTGCACCGTGCTGGGGAGAGATGAGCGGGTTACTGTGCTGCAGGGCTCTGCTCCCGAGTTAGGAGCTGCAGGGAGCCCCACATGCAGCATCTGCAGGCTTTAAAATATTAGGAAGAAAGCTGGCATGATCTGGGGTTTTATATAGGATTCCGTTCCCTGAGTGCTGGTCTGCAAATGAGATTATTTAAAATGGGGGGGGGGACGGGGGAGGGGGGAATCCTGATAGCAGAAAGTTTGAGTCCCTCTCTTCACCTTCAGTCTCGGGTGAAGGTTGTGTCCGGGCTCAGCTGGGAGCAACTCCACTTTATGTCGCATTTCACGGGTTCTTGTGGGTCCGGGCCCTGGGCAAACTCTGCTTCACCCTGCCGCATTATGACCATGCAGTGCAACCCAAGGCAGAAGGCAGCACTGGGCAGCTGTAGGTACTGCAGATGTGAGGACAGGAGCATCGAGCAGGTCGGGATGACTCTGCTGTTTCCCACCCCCTCAAATGCGCGAGGAATTGGTGCTGTTTATGACTCTTAATAGGTCTGGATTAAGGCAATTTAGGAATCTTTAGGTCCGTCTCTCAGCACGGAAGGATGACAGGCTCTGGGAGGTACGGGTGGGTGATATTTCCACCATGAGATCCGTCCTTCCCCTTCCCGCTCCCCCCATCGCGCCCCCCC